CGGGGAAGCCCCCGGAGGAAAACTCCGTGTTGCCTAGACCACGGCCTTGCCCAACACAAGTTATAAATTCGGGCACCGCCGGGAATCGAACCCGAGAGCCCAGGATTACAAGGCCAGCGTTCTAACCGCTAGAGGACTTTGCAACGTGGAATTGTAAAAATTGATTTGTCGGCCTGCGAATTAATTATGGAGATATAATTGACCGTCGTAGTTTCATGTACTCTAGTTTGGGGAACATTTCCAGCGTTGTTTATAGAACACCATGGAACTGGACAGTAGGCCTGTAATTCAGAAGTTGTCAAATGTCTACGTGAGGATCATATGTCTCGCAGATATCACAAAGTGTTTTTTTTCTGTATATTGTTAATTTGTCTTTAGCGATGTTAATTTGTTATACCCTTATCTCTGCCCAAACACCCGTTGACGATAAATTAGAGTACTCCGTAGCCGGTGCAAAGATTTCCTTGCATTTTGAAACTATGGGCGAATTTTCATTAAACTTGGCACTTTTTTTAGAGAAATAGAATGGGTAGGCACTGACTGGATTCATTTGGCTCAGGATAGGGACCAGTGGCGGGCTCTTGTGGACACGATAATGAACCTTCGGGTTACATAAATATCTGGGATCTTCTCGAGTGGCATAAACTGTGAAATCCCCTCAGTATCGGGAAATCTCCAGACCTCGGAATTATTTTTTAGGTGCAATTAAACGATAGTAGTCGTCATCTAAAGATCAACGCGTGATATTAGGAGCCTAGGCTGAAGACGGCCATTTGACTATCACTGGCGTCGACTTACGCATTGCGGGTCACAATTATTGTGGGGAACAATACAGATTGACTCAGACATAATTTAAGTGTAAACAGATTCGTTTTAAGAAAGGCCCTCGGGTATCTAAACATACAGCATCCTCTATCGTGAACGTCTTCGCCAAGGAAATTTTTCTCATAGCGGATTTATGAAGGAGGCTTCTGCTGCCATCTACTAGGTCGTAAGAGCGTTGAAATAAGGAAACATCGATTACACCAATAAGCTTTCTGTGATGCTGCGCATTTTGTGCAAAGTTTTGTTGAATCTGTGCGTAGGAGTTGACCAAATTTCCAGAGGTACTTTCTCCATAATCAAATTCCAGAAGCCTGGCATCTTCATGCTCTCCGCCGTGGAAGCCTGAATCTTAGAAAACAATCACAGATGGTCAGGATGACGACTTGATCTTCCGGTGGGAGACCTAGGCATACGATGTGCCAACACTCGAATTGTGTGTCGAATGTACCATAAAACTAAGGAAAGCGAGAATTTTCACTCAAACAAGGACGTATATGTATGTATGTGTGTGTGTGCTATGTGATAAAATTATCATAAGACATCACGTGCATGACTTTAAAAGTGAAAGTAATTTCTTGACTGTATTTGTTTGAATGATGTGCATTGCAATGCATAAGGTCGGTTTTCAATGAGTTAGAAATTATTTGTGTCTATGTTGGTAAATTGTGTATTGTGTCGTGGTGCATGCTGGGTGTACATTCTTCGATGTTGTTTAGTGTTAACTGCGTATGTCATAGAATTAGAGTTAATTTACGTTTCATAGATCTGTCTTTGGGCTGAAACAATGGATGCAGAACATATGATAATGCAGATATTTGCAACTTATTTCACGTATAGATATAACGACTGGCCATAAACAATATTTGGGAAATAACTTTATTTGTGAAGATTTCTGAATGCTGTGTTGTTGCCCAACAACCCAGAAGACAGAAATCTTAATACTCACCGCTGTGAAAACCACAAATCATACATAACTTTATTTGTGATTGTCTTTGATGTGATGGCTTGTGTCTTGAACATATTCTAGGTGATGAATGCAGTCCAAGATATTAAAAGTGTCAATTATTTTGCTATTTTGTAATGACTTTTTTCCAGTGTTAAAATGAAAGTAGCAAATTGTTGTATGTTTTTTTCTGTTAATATTAGAAATACAAGTAATTCAGATGTTAAGACATCATACTGTGTAATAAACATGTTTCCTTTCAGGACTTGGGGAAAGTATTCCAAGCTGGATACAATTGTCTGGACTATGATGCCGTTTGACTGGAATTATTTTAAGCCATTTACTTTACTGTCCAGGAACTGTTGTGTGAGAAAGAGGTTTTAAATTTACAAACAGTTCTGCACTCCCTTGCATCAAGAGTGTCAGAAATTATAATGCAAGGAGTTGAAGAAATGTCATCGTCTGTGAAGGGAAGCTCGGTGAGTGTTCTGTGTTTGTGAGCAGAGAAAAGAATAGGATTTTCTTCTCTTGATCAAGGCTTTATGAAATGTTCGCTGAATTACAGGTGGGGAACCAATTGGGAAGAAAGTATGCATGTCGTGTAATCATATATGGGATTATAAAACTAAAATTAAGAAGGCTGTGGGTGTCAGGATGTAAACGTGGCATGTATGAGTCAGGGTGGGGATGAGTAGGAAGTATGAACATAGAAATGGATATTTGGGTTCCATGAAGAGTTGGGAACTTTGTGATTATCTTGAACTGCCGTTACCCTACAAAAAAATCTCTACCCTGTGTGGAGTGAATAATTTTTGTTCTGATCCTGAATTTGTTTTCAGTTGTTACTGGTACTTTTGGTACCCATACATTGTATAACGCCAACATTAAAACAGTTTACTTGCTTAGCTGTTGAATGATTCACATGGTGAGGTAAATTTACAAGCAAATGCTTTTTTGTTTTTATGAGAAGTGTCATTTTAATACAGATTGTTCATGTGTAAATAGTTTTTCGTGATGATGACCAAAATTTGTACAAAACAATTGTCAGATTGAAGCAGTGTGAAAAGAACTTGTGTCTCAAATTGTGTGTTGACAGAGTAAAATCATGACTGATAGGGATATCGTGGGTTTACAGAAGTCTGTAAATTTATTGAAACTTGAACCTAGTTCAGATACCAAGACATGTCATGATGGAAATCAGGTTCTTGATATAAAAGTTGAGGGAGTCGCAGATATGCAAGCGGAGGATGGTCCTGTGGTAACATCATGTCCCGTAATAAAGACTGAAGAAGAGGTAAGTCAAATGTTTATCTGCACATTGTAGTGTGATTTATGAAATATCTTCAGGTGTGTGTCTCTACGTGTTTGTCCATCAACATCGCATAATTCGCCTCTGGTGAATGTATTAATATTTTGAAGAATCTTCATCTTAACGGATGAAGAGAGACTGTGGACACGTGAGAATGGGTGATGAGCAGAATGTTTAGACCTGACTGAAATTAAGTAGCCGGATCAGTACAGTCTTCTGGTATGTAGCTTCATGCAACTTTTATAGGACTTTACTACTTCCATTGTCATGTCAATATCTGCCAGACAGAATAGAGCCAGGGTCCAGAAGACACTTATCACCATGACAGCGTCAAATTTGACAAGTTCTCAAGTGGTCTGAATAACTTGGTCTGTTCGTAAGAATTTGGAAATGACTGGCAATGAAAACGCGCCTGCACCTTCCAAACTCAGCAGATGAAGTGTCAACCCAAGCCAACACACACACATGGGGTGGAAAATTACATCTGGAAGTCATAATCTGTTCGGTCACACGCCAAGGGGCTCTCGGGCCGAAGCTCGTCCCTGTTAAATTCATGTCTAAGAAACTAATTACTAATCTTGATTATAATATGTGTATAGTTTTTTTGTAATGTTCTTTTATGGTTGTAGACATATTTCTACAAAACTGTTCCCTGTTTGATGCAGTGTGATGTGGTTGTAGACTAAACGTATCCTGTTTCTTTGACAAGAAGGCAGCCATGATTTATAAGGTTACATTGTTTTACAGAACTGCACGGATTTGCTGAAAATTGTATTTGGTTCAAATAGTAAGACATGTCATGATGGAAATCAGTTTATTGAAGTAAAATCTGAGGACCTTAGTGAGGAGGAGGCCACAAAGGAGGAGCAGGAGGAGGATCCTTTGCTAATAAAATATCCAGTAACAAATATAGAGCATGAGGTGAGTTGCATAATAGCACGTATACTTTGCTAGGCAGATTTCTTTGTCTTATAAGTCTGTCTACATGAAATATCTCTTGTTTTGGAGAATGGATTTTGAAGAATCCTTTCTGAGGTATCAGAGGAGGATTGAGCTAATAATAGTAATAATAACAGTAACAGATTCTGTTTGAAACTGGAATTGGTATTATTTACAATATGAAGTACAAAAATTAACAAAATTATCTGGATATATCAATTGAACAGCACTTTCCTGTTGAAGAATAGAAGTCTCATTATCACTTTGAAATTTATTTGTATCTTCTATCATTGACTATGCTTTTTTGATTCACAATGTTACATGGACTATCTTAACTGAATGACCTGGTATCAGCTGGCACTAAAATGCTGACAGACGACTGAAATCTTGTACCATGTTTGAGTTCAAAGTCTGAGAAGTATCCCACACACTCCTTCAACTAACACCCTTTACACTTTACGTGTGTTGATGAAGGAAATGACTCCATCCTCTTCTGTCTTCACACATTCTGCCCATTTACAATTACTGCCAGTTCTTTCCGCTTTGTTCTGGGGTAAACTGTGGGAATCTTCTCTCAGACATATTTGCACTTTAACCAGTATGTCTCAAATCCATAGTTCTTCCATTTACCTTAATAATCTTTTCTTTTTTAGCAGAGTATTGAGGAAGAATCTTGCACTGAAAATGGTGCGTGGCAGTATTACTGTGGTTTGTGTAAAAAGACGTACAATGAGACGATTTGCCTAAAGACACATCCACCAATACATCAGGAAAAGCAGTTATATCCCTGTGACGTGTGTGAAAAATCATTCAGTCAGAGAGGTCATCTGAAGGCGCATCAACGGATACATAGCGGGGAGCGCCCGTATTCTTGTGATGTGTGCAGTAAATCGTTTCGTCAGAAGGGCGATCTGAAGAAGCATCAGCGTATTCACAGTGGAGAGCGCCCGTATATCTGTGATGTGTGTAATATTTCTTTCACCCAATGGAACGTTCTAAAAAAGCATCAACGCACACACAGCGGAGAGCGGCCATATTCCTGTGAACTGTGTAATAAGTCATTCAGTGACAGCAACGTTCTAAAAATACACCGGCGCGTTCACAGTGGAGAACGGCCTTATTCCTGTGATGTATGCAGTAAGTCGTTCAGTCAGAGGAGTGATCTGAAGAAACATCAGCGCATACATAGTGGGGAGCGGCCATTTTCATGTGGTGTCTGCAGTAAATCATTTAGGCGGAGAGATGACTTAAAGAAACACCAACGAATACACACTGGAGAGCGACCATATCTGTGTAATGTTTGTAATAATACTTTTGGTGAGAAGAGTGTTCTGAAAAAGCATCAGCGGTTGCATAGTGGAGAGCGGCCATATTTTTGTGACGTGTGTAGCCATTCTTTCAATCAGAAGAGTGATCTGACAGTACATCAACGCATACACAGTGGGGAGCGGCCATTTTCATGTGGTGTGTGTAGTAAATCATTCAGGGAGAGCAGAGTTCTGAAGATCCATCAACTTGTACACAGTGGAGATCGGCCATTTTCTTGTGATTCGTGTAATAAATCATTCTGCCAGAGGAGTGATCTGAAGAAACATGAACTCACGCACAATAGAGAGCAACAATGAATTTTCTCGCATCAACACCCTTTGCTTGAGAGCGTATTAGTTCTCATGATTTACGTAATAAGTTACTCTCAGGGGAGTGATCTCAAGAATCATTGAAAATATCGCACGGGCAGCGCCGACTTCTAACAAGAGTCGAGTTCTTTCCAGCGTCGAGACGACCTAGACTCAAGTCAGCGAGGAAATAAAGGTGTTCGGTCGACTTGGTTTTACACAAGTTTGGTGAAGCCGACTTTCGAGTAGTTTCTAAATATTGTTACAAAATAATAGTTTTGCAAAGCTTTCTTCATCTCGGTACTCTGCCGCTGTGTATAGGAACTTTGGCTTGTTTACAGTGTGTCCCATCACTAGTGGCCCAAGAGGGATGATTTGGATATCAAGTGGAAACATCCTGCTCTCCCTTACTGAAGATAACTTGTTTGTAGCTTATGTTGAAATAGCAAATACAAAATAATTGCAATTGCAGCTTGGTTCTTAAAGATATAGGAGAATATACCCTTTTAATATGTATTTATATATTAATGTAGTCTCTATAATCAAGCCATATACAACAGTGTGGTATGTATGTCTTTCTGTGAAATGGGTTATAATAAGTTATTCACAGGCCAAAATCATCTAAAGACGCGTCGGCTCATGCTCAGTTGTGAGTGTTTATGTTTCTGTGATGTGTTGGGCATCATTCAGTGATCATTGTCATTAGTAAAGGGTGGTTATTTGTTTTCCTTTGATGTCTGTAAAAGTCAATGAGTAATTAATGCCATTTTCGTTTTAGAACATTTTCATTATATTGTAATTTGTTCCAGTAGCGTAGTTTAAATGCATCAGTGCGCTAGATCATGTCATAAGGGAAATGTATTTTGCAAATTTTAACTGTGCTTGTGCTGATCTGGAAGGGCAGAAAGGCAGAAATTCTAATAGTTCCTGAAGACTATAATAACATCCTGTGCCCTTATAGAATTTGGAAAGTTTTTAGACACAGGTTGTGAAGTGGATTGAGCTGGCTGAGGATAGGGTAGCAACTTGATCAGATGTACCCTGTTAAGTGGAGACAGCTGGTAACAGATATTGTGACGGTGAAGCAAATGTTGGACGGAACCACTGCCGATAAGTCATTATTCACATTTATAATTTTCATGTTCAAATTGAATGAGTATTGAATTAATAACGTGTTTCTGTGGGTACAACTTGCAGCAGGACATCATAGTGTACATAAATTTGTCTAGTATGTAATTATTTGTGTAATAATTTTCATGCAATTTGACATTATGTCAGGAATGATTACTGTAAAAACATATTTTCTACAATTTTGCACATCTTTCTCTAACCACCTAATATTTCATCCCCCTCATGTCCAGATTGTCTCCTCAGCACACTTTTCTCACACCCTTTGTCCATGTTTTTCTCTTAGTGTCGGAGACCAAACTTCACACCGATGGAAGATTACAGGCAAAAATTTGGTTTTGTATCTTAATCCTAGTGGTTTTAGACAGCAGTGGAAAAGAGAAAGGTGTATGAACTAAATGGTAGGAAGCATTAGTGGAATTTAATATGCTCCTTTATTCCTCATGAATCAAATCATTTTACTGTCGCTTCAAAATTTCTGGACATCACCAAATTTCGAAGGATTCGTTTGCAATTTATATGTTGGTATCCATGTTACTCACGCCTGATCAACATGTTGCTAGTAGATGGCACTTGAATTCAGTTTTATGTAGCCGCGAGGTGTTTTTTTTTTAATGCAATACAATTATTATATAACTTCTCTTGCTACCGACAGGTGGCAGAGTATGTTTTGTCGGTGTTTGTACGGCATTTGTTCGGAAGTTTTCTGAATATTTTCATAGATGACAGTACTATTCATTTTTGTCGGTGTATGTCCTGATGCGTCGCCACTTGTGTTGAAGATGTGTACTTGCAAGCTGAAAAATGTAGGTTCGTTTCATTTGTAGAATTAGTGTAATTTGTCAGTTTTAATGCTGTTATCAGTGTCTAGTGTTACAATTTAATGTGTGAATAAACTTGTGAAGGATTCGATTTCTCATTGCCGCCGGAGTGAAATGTAAGTAGCATGTCAAATAGTAAACAGTAGATTCCTGTGTTTCCAGGTTTGTGTGTATTATAAACTTATTAAAATGATAAGTTGTTTATGTATTTTGTTGAAGTATTTGATCAAGTGTGGAAGATCGATATTGTATTTCATTGTAACAACTATGTCGTATACAGAAAAAATGCTTCATGTAACTGAGGGATAAAATCGATATAAATATAAGCTCCTTTAGCTGTCGCCATGGGGTGTAACCTCAATATTCAGGAATTATTACTCGTGGGCATGACTGATGCAGCGTAAGGCATTGGCATAACAAGAATTGGAGATTAATTTAACGGAGCTTATTTCCAGATTTATGGGTATTTTCTGAAACTGTTTATTCGTACGTACATATTAGTCTGAACAGTGTATCTGTTCGATCCAGCATTGGTTAAACAGGCAAGCGCAGAGGACCAAGGTTCGTTTGTCGGTGTATTTAAAACCGTTAATTTCGCGTGTTCATCCGTCTGGACGTGAGAGCTCCCAGACTACCGGACCGATTTCGATCAAACTCTTTGTAGTAGACATGAAATTGGTGGAGATAATTTTATGTGTTCGTCATGTAGCGAAAGTGAATGTCGTGGGCTGCCCCGTCCATGTCTCCTTTTGTATCTAGGAGGTAGGGACCTGCTTGACTATGGTCATTGTTGCACACAATCGGGAACCGTGGTTCAATTGTTGGAATGACATCGTACCTCATTAATGCATGGAACGCTTTGTTGTGCATCAGTGACCTCGGATCACGTTAACGCAACAGCATATTTACCATTTATCCCGTAAAAGCACTTTTCATTGTCGACTCGTAAGTTTCTCATACATGTCGATATTTCTGTATTGGTCAAGGCGCCTTAGATCTCATTTCTGCCCGTTCTATTTATCCTGTGCCCTTGTTGTTTTGTGCTCTGCGTTATTTTTATAATCTGACGAGATACGACTCCTGCGTGTGGTGTCAATTGTTAGCGCTGTTGGCTGTTTTGCTTCAGAACTGCACCATATTGTCTTTGGCATTTGTTTTACGTAGGGAATTCATCAGAATGTTTGTTTACCGTAAATCTTTTCGTCCTCTGTCTGTGACGAGTGTTGCATAGAAACGCCTTAACTGTGCAAACAAAGCGTTGTTAAGGCGGTTCATATATACAAGCTAATGTTAATGACCACTTTTCTGGTCATCAAAGTAAATGCTACTTATTTTTCACGTCAATATAGACCACAATATATTATATTAACCAAATATTTCTTCTTTACATGTGTAATAAAGAAACCGAGGTCAGCTATAATTCTCTGATGATTCATGTTGAGGCTTCGGTGTGGCTATTAAGGGCCCCTAATTCATTTGATTCGAAACCCGATGCTTACCCTTGGTTATTAAGAGTTCCTGGCCACAAACTGCGGTTAGATGTCCGTCTATTCTCATGATTCATTACGAAACTGCTGAACGGATTTATATTAAATGTGGTATTAGAAATGCACAGTAAAATTGTAGGCCTCGTTGAGATTACAGCTTTACTTTTACTCTTTACTTAGGAAAAATAATTTCTCAGGTTTATTCGGTTTTTAGCCGCTTTGCATTGTAGGTTGTTCTTCAAATGTAAAATTTTTTCAGATCGTGAGGAAGAAGAACTCGCACACTTGCCTCTAACTACGTATTTCCTATTTTTTATTAATTAAGTACGTGTTATTATTATTATTATTATTATTTATTGATTTTAATTTATTTACGTGTTTGCCTGTTGTTGGCTGCTTGCGTTCTAACCGCTAGACCACCGTGGCGTAACAAAACCATAAGGCACGGTTCACATTACGCGGTTTGCGCCGCGCGGTTGAATGTGAACACTTAAAGAGCCATCTGTGGTAAAAACCGCGTAATGTGAACCGAGCCTCTAAGTCACAAGAAAACAACACACATCACACAAAATAAGAACACAAGTATTTAAATACAACAGATAACGTAAAGTAGATAATTTGTGAAATGGGATGTCCTGTAAGAACTAACTTTCTGCATTTGAGTAAAATACATGAAACACCGTGCTGAAGGAACTCTTAAAGAATTGAGCTGTCTTTTGTGGGTGTGACGCCATGTCAACTTGTACGTACGAGACAATTCCTTCGTCTTTACCAAGAAGGCGAACATCGACGTATTCATCGCCGTGCGATCCTTGGTCTTCTCAGTCCATGCCCCCGCTTCCTGTCCGCCATTTTGTGACGTCTTATCGTCCGCCATTTGCGATGCATTAACTCCGCCAAAAACATGCAGAGGGCGATGCAGTGCCCCAGAACCAGGAGATAGAAGGCGCTCTGAAGATACGTCAGCGTGAACACTGCGTAGTCGTCCACTGCTGGTTGCGTTCGGATGGATCCGCCTTTGATCGTGGCTGTTGTGAGCATTTCCTTCCAGAAGTGCGTTACTAACCCAGATTCTTTTGCTACGCTTAGAAGGCGGTTGAAAGTCCCCAGAAATTCGCTGCCTCTCGGAAGAATAAATACTTGGAAATTTGTCCAGAGTTTGGCTTCATCCAACATGTAGAGTTTTCCGACGCCGGTGCTGTCCAGGGTTTTGTACGTGTTCAGATACTCGGCGGTGATGCTGGCCAAAATGGTTGCGTAATTTCCTTGGTCAGCTACTCTCAGCGCGCACTCTTCGACTTTAACGCACGTTTCCGTGTGGTTCATCATCACATCTCTTTGGTTTCCCGGGAGGTCGTACAAAAAGGACTGGAATGTTTTATGCAGGCCGTAACGGATTCCGGAACTAAGTATGTCCTCCACATTTGCGATCTGTTTCTCCAACCCAGGATCCACCAGAAAGCTGGACACGAACGTTTGAAACACTGTGCTCACTGCGAGACTGTATATGACCCACGCGATGAAGAAGAACCTGTGTGACACAAGCGAAACACTTCTGTTATCCAGTTTAAAGGAGTAGGTTGATGTTTTGAACACGTGTGAACTGATTAAGGCCGAGGAAATTATCGAGTAGGGAGTAAGTTTTCGAACGAAAAATTGTGGATAAATCGTTCTTATTTTTAAAAATAATACGGAAAATCAGATAATGAAATTGGCGAGACATCTTCTTTGGCAAAATTTGTGTGTATACCGAATTCTACTTCTGCTTATCGTGAAAAGGAATTCAATCAAAAGAACAGTAGATAATTTATGAAATCGGTAATTTTGACGTGATGTTGACAGTTGATAGACACGTATGTGAATGACGTGCTTTAAATTTAAAACTCAGACGCGCATTTGTCATAATTAGAGAGAAACTTATTGGATCTGCATAAATTCAAACTGATATGAAGGTGCATTTGACTTATATGTAAGCAGACGATATGTTTGTAATTGTGTCACAAACACTGTTTTTCATGTTCTTACTGCGACCAATTTAGTGAGAGACGTTAACAACTCGGACGTATTCAATGTCTGCATCATATTTTATAATCTCATTTCCCTACGCGTTGAAGTATGAGAATAATCTCCGTGAACTCTGAACCCGCTGATAATTACACTGATTACTACTTAAGAAGCGGTGAATCAACTACCTCATTGGTCCGGTGCGTGGTTGCCTAGCAACGGCAACTCCCATCATGGCCGCCCAGGCACTGGACAGGCAGTCGGACAGAGTTGTGTACTCGGACCGTTCTTCTTCATAATTCGCCTGGTATTTGGACAGGCAAATCATGGTCACAGAAGCCACGATCATGACGGCCATCAGGAGTAACCACATCGGCAGACGGAACACTCTGGTAATGCTGCTCCAACGAGGACGGACTTTAGCTCGTGGTACGACCCAGACGGCCTCCAGGACGTCGTAGGAAACTGTCAGGTCCAGGTCTCTTATAAACGAGAAGGCGTACGACGTTCCGCACATTCCGATGTCAGCCCTTCGGAAGATGAGGTCACCCACTATTCCTCTCCAGGAGTAGTTACGTTCGTCGAAATCGGACCAGTCTCCAGGTGGTGGCGGCAGGAACCTCACAGACGCGTTCAGACTCTTTGCCATGAAATTAATGAGGCGTATGTCCAATCCCTCGGTGTATCTGACGCCATTTTCGTCTGTACCCTCGTCCTTGTTGCTACCTATCATCACGTGGGGGTCTAGTGGGAAGGTAGAAACAGTTATGGGGCAACCGCCCAAGTCGTTTGGAAATTCCGCGGAGAATAGAGAGGCATTTCGCAGTAAATATTCTCTTTTGGCGATACATTTGTCTACCAGAACTGCTTCACGCAGTTTTCCACATTCGCCCGACGGTTTCTGATACGGAAACCACGAGTACAGTTCGAACGCGTCCTGTTCGCTGCTCGACGGAGTCAGCACCACGACATTCAGGATCTTCCACTGTCTCAGTTCCTCCAGGATCATCGGCAACTCGCCCGTTCTCTCCAAAACCACGAGGAATCGACCTCGGGCGTTCCACGCGTTGTAATAAGACTTAAGCCGTTCCAGTTGTTGATTTAGTTCGCCTGTTGCCCACAAGATGTAGCTGTCTTGTTTGTCGTAAACCTTGCACGGGTTGGGGGGTATTTCCGTACCCCAGTCCCAATCAGCGAGATCTAGAGAGGGTCCTGATATTATATTAGGTAAACGTTTACACATTTCATGGTCATGACCTGAAACGACAATAGTTTTTCTGAGGCTGCTATGAAGTTGTTTTAAAAATAGATTTAGGACGTTTGTGTCCTGTGTTCTGAGTGTGTCCTCAAAGACTGTAGAATTCGAATCGGAATCTGTCAGCTGTACCTCAGTCGGCAGAGAAACAACCGTTGTTCCTTGTGGATTAAAAAAATTTTCAGCGATGGTGTTGATGCAGGTTGCTAGGTGACTCTGCTGTCGCGTGTGTGCGTGAAAGCAGGTGGCCGTCAGAAGCCATGATATGGCTCGCCATGTTTCCTGTGTGGGGGATGAAATTTAATATGGTTAAGTTAATAACAAATATGTTTTAAGAATATCGTACGTAATTTTCAGTCCACTTTCGTAACCTCTTAAAACAGCTGACGACAACCGGCGACCCGCGAGTGACCGACATATAATTCCTTGCGGAGACGAGTCTGACTAACGTAAGACTAAACTAACTTAGCTAATCACTTATCTTCCGAATCAGTCGGTGCAGAAGCGCGTTTCGTGTTAACCATCGTCTGTTTCTTACCATTTCTCTTAAGTATGTCCTTTCCCTTTCGGAGTCCTGATTCGTGTTTTTGAAATTGGTGCTCGCCGTTGTGATCTCTGGTGTAGACTTATTCGGTTTAATTTTCACGGTGCATTTCCGTTCTGTTTATGTGAGTTTGCTGTCGTCATGCACACGGAACAGAAGTGCCAGGGTTTTTCGTCTCGTAGTTTTGAATTATGACGTCAGAGCACATTTTTTTGAACTTTGCATTTCATTGAATTCTTTGCAAAAAAAAAAGCTTGAAGTGAACGCATAATCAGTCTGAATGTCCGAAACTGATGAAAAAAGTTTTGATCACATTTGTACGCTGTACATAAAATATTGTCCGCTTTTGAACATTTTCCGATGTAGTGTGAGGTTACCCTAACAAAAGTAAATTTCTGTACGTAATAAAGTGGTCCTACATAATCAGTCAAATTTTCTAAGTACGCGTATGTAGAATAAGTCTTCCCTCTTCTGAGTGGAGTTTCCTGGTCTGATTATAACGTTTTAAAATGTTTAGTGTTCAGTAATGGGGGTGAAATATGGAAGGAAGCGGTTTTGATGTAGTGTAAGGCAGTGGTATTCACCCTGGGGTACGCGTACCCCCGGGGGTACGCTAAGACATCTTAGGGGGTACGTGAAATTTAAAAAAAAATATATTATTTTATGATAAACACTGAATAATGATTAATGTAATTTATTTAATTTATTTTGGATGTGGATTATATACTACGTATAACTTGAATTATACACCAACAACTTTGGGGGTACAAAATTGAAGAGAAATTATATTTGGGGGTACGCGAAGACATCTTAAGGGGTACGTGAAATTTTTAAAAAAATATATTATTTTATGATAAACACTGAATAATGATTAATGTAATTTATTTAATTTATTTTGGATGTGGATTATATACTATGTATAACTTGAATTATACACCAACAACTTTGGGGGTACAAAGTTGAAGAGAAATTATATCTGGGTGTACGCGAACAAAAAAGGTTGAATACCACTGGTGTAAGGTATTATCAGTGCATTTACCGAGAGGGACTGAGGAAATCAACGTGGCCCAGATTCGAACCCCGGACCCCTGTCGAATGAGAATCAGCTGTGCTAACCACTTATCCTCACCGTCTGGTTATGACTTTTAAGAACACAGTGAAAAATAAATTATCCTAATTTCAATTAATCTTAGATTTTTGAATATAAAATAAGCAAACTAACAAACTATTAAACACTGCAAAAAAGATTTTTGACATAACTGACCAGCCTATTGTGAGCCATGTGTATCAGCCCTGAAGATGGATGCGATATGCTCCTTGGAAACACTTGTAGTGAGAGCTGCGAGACTGAATTGCTTCACAACCCAGCAGATCAGAGTCGACAGGACCTCAGGTCTCTTGACGTCGTCGACTGTGGACTCTCGCTTCAACCTGTACCTTGAACGCCGTCGAGCGTCGATCCGAAATGCCTGCGAAGTGGAACCGCTTTGGAGGTTTGGGTCTGTCCACATCGTCTTCCATTAGTGCGGCTGTAAATATTACGAGACCAATTAATTACGAAAGTAAATGTCACGAGAACAATTATTCAAAGGCTTTTCCTTCATAAGCGCACAGAAAGCTAATTCATTCCTTCACGATATAGAATCATCATTTATTAGCTGATAGTCGCTTAATGGTGCATACAGATGACGTCATGCGAGGCTGAACCCTGAGAAAATTTTTGTCAAAATTCCCACCGGATTATCATCTCTGTCAGCTGCGCCTAATTATTCGCATCAAGATGTTTGTATGCATTTCTTGGTTCTGGTCTCCGTTGCTGATAATTAGTGAAATCATTTGCTCGTTTTAGCTGATGAAGTTTTTGAAGGACGTGTTCTGAACACTTCGGGGCTTCTGTCCTGAAGATGGAGGCAGATGTTTTCTTCCCGAATCGTTTGTAGTCGTGCAAGATTACGCGATGTCATAACCCACAAGACCGCTTTCGAAACCTGCCCTTCGGTGACCAAATGAAATTTTAAACGCTTTGAAAATTCAAGATCCCGCATTCCAGAGTGCGTTCGGCTGTGTCTGATTCCTCCATCTTTTGTTCTCTGTGAACCCCGGAGTATACCGCATGTGCGCCCAGGCTTTGTGGGGAGGACTGCGAAGTTAAAAGTTACTAACAGAGGGGAGCTTGGTGGTGGTTGGGGCCAGGAGGCGAGAGGGTTGTTCGCGGAACTGCGTTCCTTCTTCTCATTTCCGTGGGGCTGGCCTGCAAAAAGCAGCCGGATGCATCATCGTGTTAGCCTCCAACCCCTCGTTTATAATTGCCACGTGCCAGCTGCTCAGCAGACACCGCGTTCTTCCTCAGTTACCAACATTCCAGAGCGAGGAGAAACTTCGTAGGCCGTGACTAGTTGCGGACCGCGGTTTGTCAAACACGGGACACTCTCCACTCTGCGGTCAAAATCTCTCCTACTTCGTACCTTCATTTTGCACGTCTCACAAATTTGACTTTGTCTTACTTTGGATATTAAACCACGTGACGTTTGAGGACTCTGTGTTTAAAGTAGGGCTGGTGGTGGACCCAGTTCAGAAGTTCGCATCATTGAAGATTTGAAATTTGAGTTTACTTCTCGTGACGTGACATGAGTAGTAAATTTAGTGGAAATCCGTCTGCTCGACTAACGTTATTAGAGGGGGGGGGGAGACATGCCCAGAGGGGCGCAGTACCCAGAACGTGTCAGGGTCCCGCTTGCCGAGCAGATTATTTGCACTGGTTCTCGTGAGACGACGTTTCGAAAGCGGCGGAATCGGAAGTTAGGGGTTTACAAAATGCTTCAGACCCATAGTCTGCGTCACGCTGAGGCCTCCTCGCCACTAAATTGGCAGTCGATGATGAGGAACCTGTTGGCCGAGTGACCTCGCTTTGTTTAGGTTGAGAAAACGTCGTTCAATAAATTATTACCTGGGCACGTGCTATGTGAGTTAGATCAGCGTATGTTGAAATGAGGTGGCTTGTGTCCTTCTTGCTGCCATGCCCACGAACGAGCATTTTGTTTGAGGCTGCGTCCTTTCCGCCGTCGGAAGTAAAAGTGTTCTTGGAATGTCTCTTCAGCCCTAATAAGACGACGACCTGACTGCGACATTCCAGTGCAGACCTACAGAACGAATGAAATGTTTCTGGGCTCGCCATCTTGAAGCAGAATCCAGTCCTCCAGCGCAAACTGTGGTCCGCGAATCCCTGTGCGGCGTGGGTGAGGGGGGTAGACACCAATCGCCAATGAATGCGGATGCTGTGTGTCTAGCTCCCGCCGTTTTAACCCTTAGAGAGACATTTTTAAACCCCTGAGGTTCGTGAAGGTAAATATCCTGTCTCTGCTTGGATTCGAACCCCTGTCGTCCAGAAATTTGTCGTGGCTCATTAATTGCCCTGGTCGACTAATTACTCCGTGAAACAAAGTGTTTCTGTGTCATTAATTTCTGCCTTCACTACGTTGTGACTTATGAGTGATTCAGAATTTCCTGTGAATGAACGCACATAAATCACCAACTGTCAGCTTCTGTTATTTCCTGAGCTGATACGTAGGTCCCGTCCCCCGCGCCTTCTGGAAGCTCAAAGTGGGAAGCTGCCAGTCGGAGCAGATTCGCGTGTTCTCTCTTCTCCTTTCGTGCAGATGAGTTAAAGAAACTGACCGTCCCCCCCTTTGACTCCTACGCCGCGGATTACGTCTGAGGCATCCGCGGATGGACTAGATTCTGCTCTTTAATATTTCTTGTATCTCTGACGCTGTTTTGAAGGGGCGGGGGGGGCGGTGAATATTGATGTACGGATTTTACTTACCCCATCTCCCGACCGCCTTACCCTAGAATTTAACTGTTAATTCTTATAATTATTTAATTAAACGTTTCATAAAATGTCCAGAAGCTAGTCACCTGAATTTAACATCAGATTTGTACGTTTTGAATCCTCTAATGGCATTAACGAGACGCTTTATTAAGAATTATGCGATTTGTAAGGTATTAATTAGTGTCTGGTGTTTTGACTACGTGAGTGCAAGGATTTTGGAGCGATCTGTGAGTGCGTTTTTCCAACTACGCTCGCCTCTTGTGTCTTAAACTGCGACAACGTTCGATAAATGAGGAGTTTGTAACCAGAGCAAACATTTGAAGCTTCTGGTTTTCGTGACGTGTGAAATTCTACAATTGGACTTCTTCGTACAAGGACGCGAATTTGTGGAACTGAAGTTTAGAATCGACGTCTTCATTTATTATTCGTTTCTTACAGCAACATTTATCTTCGAGAATGTAATTTACTCGATGACTTATTTTCTCACATAATAACTTGATTTATAAATAGTCATTCAACTTTGCCACTTGGTAAAGCAATAACTTTGTAAGCCTTTAAAGCCAAAGCTCACCCAAGCACGAACTGAGGTCACGAACCGAAAAACGGACCTGGTTTCGAGTCCTGGTGAATATTTTGCGTTTAGG